GTTGTGCTGGAGGTTGTGATGGAAGTTGTGCTGGGGGTTGTGCTGGGGGGTGTGCTGGAGGTTGTGCTGGAGGTTGTGCTGGAGATTGTGCTGGAGGTTGTGCTGGAGGTTGTGATAGTGCTGGAGGTTGTGCGGGAGATTGTGCTGGAGGTTGTGATGGCGGTTGTGCTGGAGGTTGTGCTGCAGGTTGTGCTGGAGGTTGTGCTGGAGGTTGTGCTGGAGGTTGTGCTGGAGGTTGTGCTGGAGGTTGTGCTGGAGGTTGTGCTGGAGGTTGTGCAGGAGGTGTGCTGGAGGTTGTGCTGGAGGTTGGCAGGAGTTGTGCTGGAGGTTGTGCTGGAGGTTGTGCTGGCGGTTGTGCTGGAGGTTGTGCTGGAGGTTGTGCTGGAGGTTGTGCTGGAGGTTGTGCTGGAGGTGTGAGAGGTTGTGCTGGCGGTTGTGTTGGAGGTTGTGCTGGAGGTGTGCTGGAGGTTGTGCTGGAGGTTGTGCTGGAGGTTGTGCTGGAGGTCGTGCTGGAGGTTGTGCTGGAGGTTGTGCTGGAGGTTGTGCTGGAGGTTGGCTGGAGGTTGTGCTGGAGGTTGTGCTGGAGGTTGTGCTGGAGGTTGTGCTGGAGGTTGTGCTGGAGGTTGTGCTGGTGGTTGTGCTGGAGGTCGTGCTGCTGGCTGGAGGTTGTGCTGGAGGTTGTGCTTGTGCTGGAGGTTGTGCTGGAGGTTGTGCTGGAGGTTGTGCTGGAGGTTGTGCTTTGTGGAGTGTGCTGGAGGTTGTGCTGGAGGTTGTGCTGGAGTTGTGCTGGAGGTTGTGCTGGAGGTTGTGCTGGAGGTTGGAGGTTGTGCGCTGGAGGTTGTGCTGGAGGTTGTGCTGGAGGTTGTGCTGGAGGTTGTGCTGGAGGTTGTGCTGGAGGTTGTGCTGGAGGTTGTGCTGGAGGTTGTGCTGGTGGTTGTGCGGGAGGTTGTGCTGGAGGTTGTGCTGGAGGTTGAGCTGGAGGTTGTGCGGGAGGTTGTGCTGGAGGTTGCGTTGGAGGTTGTGCTGGAGGTTGTGCTGGAGGTTGTGCTGGAGGTTGTGCTGGAGGTTGTGCTGGAGGTTGTGCTGGAGGTTGTGCTCGGGGGTTGTGCTGGGGAGGGTTGTGCTGGGGGGTTGTGCTTGGGAGGGTTGTGCTGGGGGGCCGTGCTGGGGGGTTTTCAGGGCTGTGCTGGGGGGTTGTGCTGGGGGGTTAGGCTGGGGGTTTGTGTTGAGGGGGGCTGGTGCTTCGGGATTGTGCAGGGTGGTGGTGCTGGGGGGGTGACCCCCCAGCAAAACAAAACGCCAACAAAACAAGCGGCGCCTGCCCACGAGAAAACAGAACGCCCAACAAAACGTGCGGCACGCGCCTGTGCCAGAACAGAACGACCAAGAAACCGGCAGCCCGGTGGCCAAAACGCATGGGCGCGACGGCCGGCGTTCAGAGCATGTGAAAAAATGTTTTGAAACGCGTTCACAACGAAAAACAAAAATAAAACGGAAACAGATGGGAAAAAGTAGGAAAACACCGTTTAGGTCGAGCCCTGCATCATCATAATCATCATCAGCAGCAGCAGCACCATCATTGTCCTCGTCGTCATCATCATCAGTATAATCATCATCAACATCAGCAGCATCATATTCATTATTATCCTCATCATCATCATATTCATAATCATAGTCATCAGCAGCAGCATCAACATCATCATTACCATGATCTTAAGCATCAGCATGAGCATCGGCAGAAGCAACAGAATTATCATCATCGTCATCATAAGCAGCATCACCAGCAGCCTCATCACATTCAATCATCATCATCATCCCCCCTAACACCGCCATCACCAGACACAACAACGTCATGGACCTCACCATCGTCCTCATCATCCTCGTCATCATCCTCATCATACGCATACTCCCCCTGCTCCTCTCCACAACCTAATCGTTTCCTTAATCATGGTCACCATCATCATCTGCAGCAGCATCACCAGAAGCATCAGCATCCTCCTCCTCCTCCTCCTCATCATCATCACCACCAGCACCATCATCATTACCATCACCATCATGAGTATCATCTCCTCCTCCTCCTCCTCCTCCTCCTCCTCCTCCTCCTCCTCCTCCTCCTCCCCCCTCTTCCCACCCCCTCCTCCTCCTCCTCCTACTCCTCCTACTCCTCCTCCTCCCCCTCCTCCTCCTCCTACTACTCCTACTCCTCCTCCTCCCCCTCCTCCTCAGAATCAGCATCATCATCACCAGCATCATTATCAGAATCAGCATCATCAGCATCCGTATCATCACCTTCATCCTCATGATCATCAACATCACCATCACCACCAGCATCGAAATCCTAGTATCCAGCACCACCATCATCATCACCATCATCGTCCTCATCAGCATCAGCATCATCATTACCATCTTCATCATCATCATCATCATCATCATCATCATCATCATCATCATCATCATCATCATCATCATCATCATCATCATCATCATCATCATCATCATCATCATCATCATCATCATCATCATCATCATCATCATCATCATCATCATCATCATCATCATCATCATCTCCATCATCATCCACATCATCAAGAGCAGTATGACAATCAGCAGAATCAGCATCATCGCCACCATCACCAACATCGCAACAATCCTCCTCACCCCCCTCGCACCACCATCAACATATGCAACAACATCATTAAAGCCACCATAACCCTCATCATCCTGGTAATCATTCTCATCATATGCATACTCCCCATGCTCCTCTCCACCACCTGATCTTCTTCGCCATGGTCACCATCATCATCAGCAGCAGCATCAGCAGGAGCATCGGCATCCTCCCCATCATCCCCAGAACCAGCACTATTATCATCACCATCAGTACTATCATTTGTTCCTCCTCCTCCTCCTCCTCCTCCTCCTCCTCCTCCTCCTCCTCCTCCTCCTCCTCCTCCTCCTCCTCCTCCTAAAGAAGCAGAGGACAGAGGCGGACCAGCAGGCAGCAGCAGGGGGTTGAGACGGTCTGTCTACTGGCCAGCTCGACCCAGCGACCTCCAGGACCTGAGGGCGACCTCCTGTCGAGGCCTGCCCGATGGCCGCGGTGCAGGGGCAGCGCAGGAGGGAGGGGAGGGGCCGCCTCGCCGCTGGCCTGGGCCTGGGGGCAGGCACTTGCGGGCGGGGGCCCGACCGAAGGACTGACCTGGCGAGGCACGCTGGTGCGGCGCAGCGGCAGATCTGGCGACAAGCTGTGCCCGGGCCGTGGTATCGAGCCCCTGTGTGTGCTTCTGTCCTCAGCCGTGCTTCACCTCGAAGCGAGCAGGGCCGTGCAAGAACTGCCGCACACTTCAAACGAAAAAGCGATTCCTCTGGTTTTGGGAGCAGCAGGCCAGCCGCTAGGCTGAAATGCTGGGCCTGGGGCGCAGCAAGCGCAATCATGATCAACAATGCCCACACGGGCATGATGGTGTGACGGAACGAGCGAGGTACGAGTGATGACGTTGAGTTGGGGCGACGCCCTCTAAGGAGGAGTCAAGGGGAGGGGGGAGGAGCTGGGACATAGGTCGAAAGGCCCTCCCCCCCAAAGAGGCCCCTAAGACGGCCCAAGGGGCGTCCAGGAGGGCCCAAGATACCCCGAAGACGGCCCAAGAGAGGTCCAAGACGGCTCCAAGACGGCCCAAGAGCGCCGGTCCAAGAGACCCCAAGACCGTCCAAGATCGTCCCAAGATGGCCTAAAATGTCCTCAAGACGTTCCAAAAGGGCCCCGAGACGCCCGAAGAGGCCTGCAAGAGGCTTCCCAAGAATGCCAACAGAGGCAAAATTCGTGGACTATTCGATTGTGTTTGAAGGTTGTTGGGGTTCTCGCCTTTCTGGGCCAAAAACGGCCCAAAACGGCCCGAAGCGGCCCAAGAGACCCCGAAGATCGTCCCAAGACGGCCCAAGAGGCCTCAAAAGACTCGAAAGCGGTTCAAGAGGGCCCCAAGACTGCCCAAGGGAGCCCAAAACGGCCCAAGAGGGCCCCAAGACGGCCCCAAGAGAGCCCCAAGAGAGCCGAAAGAGGCTCCGAGAGGGCTCCAACAGGTCCCCAAAAAAGCCCCGAGACGGCCAAAGGCCTCCAAGACGCCCCAAGACGGCCCAAAAGGGCCCCAAGACGGCCCAAGAGGGTCCCAAAACGGCCCAAAGGAGCTCCAAAAAAGATCCTAAGGAAACCAAAGGGACGCCAAGTAACATCGTGGCTCCCAACAGCGAGCGGTGACGTAACAAGCTCTTAACACCAACCCTCCCAGGGCGCGGCGACGTAACAAACTCTTAACAGCAAGGCTCCCAAGAGCGAGCGGCAACGCAAAAGTCTCTGAGCACCAGGGCACCCACAACAGCGAGCGGTGACGTAACAAGCTCTGAACGCCTAGACTCGCAAGAGCGAAGAGTGCCATGAGCCATCTCGGGCAAGTTCCTGACGCGCTCTTGCCGTTCCCGTGCTGGCCCACCCCCTAAAGAGCCCTCGCCGGAGGCCGAGGGGTGGGGCGGAGAAGGAAGATTCGCAAGAGGCAAGCAGGGCGGGCAACCCTCCTCCCCCTTCCCCCTCTCTCCCCCGCCCCACCCACGCCACCCCCCTCCCCATCCCCCCTCCTACTTCCCCCGCCCCCCTCCTGTCCGCCCCCAATACCCCCCCCCCAAAAGAGGCGCGGCCCGCGATCGCAGGGCCAGGAGGCTCGGAGCGGCTGGGGCCCCAGAGGTCTGCTGGCTCTCCTTGGGAGGGCCGGCAGCGAGCGGCATGCACGACTTTCGGCGGCCTCCAGGCGTGCTCGGGGTGGACCACGCGGGCCAGAGGGGCTGTCGCAAAGGGGCGGTGCACCTCTCCGTGCGCGGCAGTGGAGCCAACATCGGGGCTGCATCGCTCCTGCCTCGGGCCCGCGCGAAAGAGAGCAGCGGGGCTCCAAGCCTAGCACCCTGTGCCTTCTCAGTGCTGCCCCTCCCGCCATGCCCGGCGCAGGAGCTGCTCGGGCCTTGTAGGTCTTTCTCTGGATCATCCGCCTCCAGTGCGCCTGTATGAGCGTGGAGCTCTTGATCAAGAGCTCGTGTCTTGCAAACTTGAGCCTCTCGAAAGCGGGCAGCTTGAAGAAGACCAACCTGACTTTCACAAGTGCGGATGGGCTCCAACAGCGCAGAGCGCGGCTGCGCAGTGACAACATATTGCACATGATAGTAGAAGCACATCGAAACGGCTCTCTGAACAAGTGTCGGGCACAGCCATTGGTGGAATAGTGGAGGGACAGAAAATGGTGATGGAGACCCAACGGACACCTCTGCGAACTCCGACCGTGATGTTCCACCCGAACGAAGCATCAGAGACGACACACGAGAGCCCCAGGACTGCCCAAGAGGGCCCCAAGAAGCACACAAAACATCCACCGACCGCCGACAACAGATGCGCCCAACGCCGCCTGCCTGGGGGTGACAAGGTGTCTCAATGTTTGTTGGCTGCCCCCCCCCTCACGGGGTGGGTCAAAATCCCGTTCGAAGCGAAGGGCCGACCGCCGACAACAAATCCGCCTAACGCCGCATGCCAGGGGGCGACAAGGTGTATCAACATCTGTTGGCCGTCCCCCCCCCATCACGGGGGGGAGTCCGAATCCCGCTCGAAGCGAAGGGAAGGGGGAGGGGCCAACGGGGCCGACGAGACCTTCCACGCGCCTCCGAGGTCCAAGAGTGGGCCCACCCGGCTCCACAGACCCCGACATTGCACCAGAAAGCCCCAGAGAGTGCCCCAAGATCGCACGGCAACTGCCCCAAAAAGACAGGGCACACGCGCGTCAGGGGCAAGGGCCAAGCGAACACTCACACGGCCTGGACACCCTGGTCGGGAGCCTTGCGTACGAAAGACCACGGGTGGCTCATGCCTTCCTGGTAAGCTCCTTCTCGTCATCCTCCTTTTCCTCTTCCTCCTCCTCCTGAAAACCGGCCGCTCCCGTATTTGGTGTCGGCCGTGCGAACTCATTGGAATGTTTGGCACAATCAGACAGAGCCTGATTAGAAACTCCAATCACTCCTTTGGAGCCTAACTCTGCGGCCGAAAGAGCTCCAGAAGTGTCCCAGAACAACCAGAGCTGAGACCGCCAGGGATGGCAGAACTTAGCCCCAGACTGCTTCCAGGATGGCCCCAAGATAACCCCAGCAAAGCGTTACGCAGGCCCAGAGCATTCCGAGGAAGTTCCCGAGAGGCAAAAGCCACGCAAAAACACATCATCTTATTTCGCGTTGCTACGAGTTTCGCCTACTCGCCTTTTCGCGTCTGATGGGCCGCTCAGGCCTGAAAATGATTTCGGGATGGCACACGGGAGCCCCAGGAGTAGCCCGGAAGGCAATCCAGAGGAGCCCAGAAGACCCCGAATGGTAGACAGGAGCCCAGGAGCCGCAAGAGCACCCAAGAGACAACTTTCTAGACCCCAAACGAGCGACCAAAATGTAGGAAACTCCTTTCGGCATCGCCATGGGATCTCAAGAGAGCAACAAGAGTGCCCAGAAGCCTCGCAAAAGGCTTTCAAGAGAGTCCAGAGGCTCCCAAATTGGCGATTGCGGAGCGCAGCGTAAGCTGATCCCATATTCAGTTTGACTGGCGCCGCTTCTTTTTGCACCACGAAGTATCCTCCATTTTCCTTCTCACGAGAGACCAGCCAGGAATCTTTTCAGGATAGGTCGTGAAGATCCACGAATCTGCTCTGAGACGATGGTCGTGAACACACTCCTGCACGAAGATGGTCGTGAGCACAAAGCGCAACATCCGTACAAACGCCGCAGCAGCGCCACAACACAGAACTGCGACGCTGCGTCCCGCTTTGGCACAACCCTGTCGGGACGTCGACGTCATGCTCCTATAATCAAAACCTGTGTTCCGAAGCCAACCGGGCCAATTCCTGCGCAGTCGAACCAGCTTGAGGCGGGGTGCAGGCTGCAAGAGATGCAGTCGGCCCGCATCAGAAGGATGCGCGATAAGGATGCAAGGGCCTTGGACGCCCACTTTAAAGCTCTTCGAGCGCGGCGCCGCGAACGAGGAGGCAAGGATGCAAGGGTACCCTTGGGAAGGCTGCCGATCCTTTTACTGTGCGGGCTGACAGTAGGGAGAAAGCACGCCGTGGCAAGCAGGCCGCCGTTGCCTGCTGCCCGTGACGTTTCCGCACGCCCCGCTGCGGCCGGGCCACGATTTGCCCACGGCCGTGGAGAGGCCGTGTGCTGGCCTCGGCACCGCCCGCGCAGCGCCGCACGGTGCGCACACCGCCGAGGGGAGACGAGCGCGAGGAGGCCGGGCGCGAGGAGGAGGAGGAGGAGGAGGGAGGAGGAGGAGGAGGAGGAGGAGGAGGAGGAGGGAGGAGGAGGAGGAGGGAGGAGGAGGAGGGAGCAGGAGGAGAAGGAGGGAGCAGGAGGGAGGAGGAGAAGGAGGGGGACAGGCCGCAGGCCCAGGCCGCGAGGCGCAAGGCGCGATGGCCATCGCGAGCCCGCGGGCGACCTGGCGGTAGCCGGGCGGGCCGGCTCCTGCAAAACTTTTGCGTAGCGTGTCGCCGCGGCGGCGCTGGCGACACGGTGTGCCGTGCGAGTGGATAGCGTGCCGCTCCGCTCCGCGAGACGAGGAAGTGGGACGAGCTCGGTACGTTGACGCGTGGGGACTGAGAAGTGGATGGCGTGTCGCGCCAAAGCGAGGTGGGCCAGAACCGGCTGAGCGACATGCTAACCGAAAGTTCCCGACCGTACGCGCACTGGACGATCGGTACGACAGGCTCGTGTCGCGACGACCCCGGCGCGTGTGTTCTGACATCGCGTAGATCATTCAACCCTGAACGATCGGCGGTTTTTGATCGCCGGATCGTGCCATATTGACAGATTCTGGGCCACCAGAGGGGCGTGAACCCTTCACGCACAAACTGGGGTTGCAGCCGCATCTACACGACACGAACCTACCGTAGTCTCGTGTTCATGGCCTGTGCCCCCCTGGCAGCAGAATCGCACAGGGCCGCCACTGGGCACGAACACCAGAGGCACCAAGGAAACGCTGGTCTGGGGCGAGTGGGGATCCAGAGCCTCGGAGACGCTCGCCGCCCCCATCCGAAATGTGATTGCGCTTGGGCGTTGGATCGTCCTCGTCAACATGACAGTCATCGTCCGTCAGCCACCTTGTGAGACCACACGGCTGAGAAGAGCAGGCTTCAATACCAAGAAAGCGTGTCCTCCAAGCTGATCTGCGCCTTCATCACATTACTCTTATTACACGTTGTTCAGTAGTTACGCTTGCAAGCGAACTCGCGACGCCGAACGGCCTAGAATAGAGAATTTGGCGTAACATGCCCCTGTACCCTCCGCCTCGTACACCCCCTCCCCCCTCCCCCCCCCACACACGAACGGCCAGAAAGGAGCATCTAGCTTCAACTGGCCATGTCTCCTGAGTCTGGGACCCTGTACAGCGCAATATGAAGCTTCACCTGCCCACCTTTCCTCAGCCTGCAGCAAACTCTCAGCATCTCCTCCGTCTACACCTCCTCATCCACTTTCTCCGCCTACTCCTCGTCATCATTCCATGATGTCTCCTGCTCCTCCTCCGCCCCTCCTCCTCCCTTCTCCTGATGTCTGCTTCTTCTCACCATCAACGTCAACTCTCGTCGTCGTCCTCCTCCTCCACCTCCACTTCATCGTCATCATCGTCATCATCATCACCAACACAACCATCATCATCGTCATCGTCGGCGTCGTCATCATCACCATCATCAGCATCCTCATCATCATAACCACTACCGACACCATCACCATCATCATCATCATTCACATCATCATCGGTAGCATCATCATCATCAGCATCAGCACCAGCATCATCATCATCATCATCATCATCATCATCATCATCAGCATCATCATCATACTCATCATCAGCATCATCATCATCATCATCATCATCATCATCATTATCATTAGCATCATCATCATGGTCCGTCTCGCCCTTCCCATCTTCCTCATCGTCCTCCTCATCATCATCATCATCCTCATCCCCATCATCATAGTCATCATCATCGTCATCGTCATCGTCGTCATCAGCATCATCATCAGCAGCATCAGCAGCATCATCATCATCATCATCATCATCATCATCATCATCATCATCATCGTCATCATCATCATCATCATCAGCATCATCATCATCATCATCATCGTCATCATCTGCATCAGCATCCTCACCCTCATCCTCATCATCACTACCATTAATGCCATCCTCATCGTCATCATCGCCATAATCATAATCATAATCATCATCAGCATCAGCATCATCATCACAGTCCTCATGCTCCTTCTGCTCCTCCTCCTTCTCCTCCTCATCATCATCATCATCGTCATCATTGTCATCCGTTTCGTCCTCCTACCCACTACTTCCTCCTCCTCCTCGAAGATCATCATCGTCATAGTCATGATCAGCATCATCCAAATCATCACCATCAGCATCAGCATCAGCATCATCATCAGAAGCCCCATAATGAACATTAGCATCAGCATCAGCATCATCATGATCATCATCATTACCACCAGCACCATCATCATCATCATCAGCAGCATCATCAGAATCGCCCTCATCATCCTCATCATCATCACCACCAGCATCATCATCGCATCAGCGTTGTCGTCATTGTAATCATCATCGTTACCATCATCAGCATCCACCCCATCATCATCATCTCCATCATCATCATCAGCATCATCACCACCATCATCATCGTCATCATCAGCAGAATAAGCATGAGCATTAGCAGCATCAGCAGCAGCGGCATCATCATCGTCATCGTCATCGTCACTATCACCACCAGCATCGTCATCATCATCATCATCATCAGCAGCAGCAGCGGCAGCATCATCATCAGTATGATCAACAGCATTATCATGATGTTTCGATATCGCCATCAGACTGCGCAATAGGGACCCAGAGATGGTTCCCAGCCCAGAAATTGCCCGAGGTGGCCCCAGAGCTCCAGATGGCTGAAAGATATGGCCCCAAGAAGCCCTAGGCGGAAGAAGGCGCAGGGAGACGCGAAGGAGCAGAGGCAAAGAGAAAATGAGGGTTCTGGCATGATGCTGTTTGAACAGGTGTGGATCCTCCTCCTCCCCCCTGGCGGGAGCGCTAACGTGTGAGTTGTGCCCTCCAAAGCACGCCCCGATCTACAACGCAATAGGCCCTCACGAGCAATGGTGGTGAGGCAGCACGGGCACAGCAGAATGTCCAGGAAATACGTTGCCAGCTCTCTGCGCCCTGCCTGCGGCAACGACAACGGCTCCCAGCGGAAACTGTTCGATCACTGGGAGCACAGGGCGGTCAGATGCCGCCGGATGAAGAGCAGAAAGCTTCATGAGATACCTCCAGAACTCAAGCTGCGAAACGCCGAAGCCGCCCCACCGCCGCCTCCCGCTACGGCTGAACCCGGCTATGCATCCTGGTTCGCTCGCCTTCGTTATTACCATGATCATCATCACCATGATCACCATCATCTTTAGCATCATCATCATCCTCCACATTCCTCATCATCATCACCATCATCATCATCGTCATCATCATTTTCGTTGGCGTCGTCGTCGTCGCCGTCGTCATCATCATAATCATCAGAATCATCAGAATCATCAGCATCATCATCATCATGAGCAGCAGCATCGTCATCATCATCAGCAATATCATCACCACCGTCATCATCACCTCCAGTATTATCCACAACCATTTTGAGACCGCTCGTGTTTATCTGCTCGCGTGTCACTCAACATGTATACCCCGAACCCTCGATGCCCGCCTGCTTAGTCTTCGATCCTGCCCCCATTGGGGGTCTGTCTTCCTCACTTGCCACGCAAAGTTGGCCCAGCCCCTAGGGGATATGAGGGAGAAAGGAAGGGACAAGGAGGAGAGAGAAGAATGGAACACGAGAGAGGATAGTACGAAGGGATTCAGAAGCAGGACAACAAGCGGCAGAACCAGACGGGCATCTCGGGCTGGCGGACCCTAGCGGGAAGGTCGGGCGGGCGGGCCCAGACGGCGGGGTCAAGCGGGCGGGCCGCTGAAGCCTCAGTCCTGCATGAATCGCGAGAAGTCTCTAGAGAAGGCGCGATGTCCAAGTAAATCGAAAAAGAAGTCCGGAGCGAGAGCGTGATTTCTGAGCGTCGAGGACGCGGCGTCTCACAGCATCGCGAGGAAGTCCAACGCGAGAGCGCGATTCCTGCAAAAGTTGCGAGGACCTCCCGCACGAGATCGCGATGTTGGATCAACTGTGAAGAAATATCCGACGGGAGCCAGTGTTGTTGTAGCTCGTGGGCCAGGGGCCCAGTCCGGGTCCCAGGAATTCCCTTGTTTGAGGAGGATGCGAGACCCTGGAGGGCACTTCAACTAAAAACACAGAATGGGCACCAGAGGGAGGATCAGCAACAGATATTTGTTAGATCCGGGAACTCCCTAACTATTACAACAACAATCATGTTAAGACAGTCCGCTCTTATCAGCTCGCAGGCCACTCAACACCTGTATCCCAAGCCCTCGATACCCGCCTTCTTCGTCTTCGATCGTACCCCCCTGGGGGTGTATATCTTTCTTACCTGCAACGTGTATTTCGCGCAGCCCCTAAGGCAGGGGACGAGAGGACGGATGGAAGGAAGGGACAAGGGGGAGGGAGGAGGATGGAACATGAGAGAAAGCAGGAGGGGGGCTAGGAGCAGAAAACACGTGGCAGAACCAGACGGGCAGACCAGGCGGGTAGACCCTAACAGGCAGGTCAGGAAGGCGGGCCCCGCCGTCCAGGTCGAGCACGCGAGTTGTTGAAGCGTGCGTCGTGCATGGATCGCGAGGAAGTCTCGAGCGATAGCGCGATTCCCAAATAAATCGCGAAAGAACCACAGCGAGAGCGCGATTCCTGAGCGTCGAGGGCGCGGCGTTTGAATAAATGGCGAAGCGCTCCCACGTGACAGCGCGATTCCTATAGAAATTGTGAGGAAGTCCCGCGCAAGAGCGCGATATAGGAATAACTTGTGAGGAACTATCAGGCGTGAGCCGCTGTTGTTGAAAATTCGGGGGGCTGGGGCTTAGTTTGGTGACCCCAGGAAAAGCAGCTCCAGGTGCGAGCTCCAGGAAAAGCAGTTTAGTTGAAAACTACAGAATGGTCCCGGGGAGGGGGGCGGCAACACTTACTCTTTAGAAATGAGAATTCAACATCAAATCCACCTTTCACGACAGAACATCCATACGCATCCTCACCCTTGGCCTGATCCTCTCCCTCGTACTTGTCCTCGTCCTCCTCCTCGACCTGATGAGACTGTCACAATCTTTTTATTCCTGCCCCTTATGATCAGCTTGTTCTGGCTGGCCATGATCATCCTCCTCATCCTCTTCATCACCACCACAACCACCACCCTCATCATCATCATCATCATCATCATCATCATCATCATCATCATCATCATCAGCATCATCATCATCATCAGCAT